GGACCCCGGGGAGGGGGATCAGGACCCTGGAGCAGCAGAATTGGGGTCCCAGGGAGGGTTTCAGGACCCCGGGGAGGGGGATCAGGACCCTGGAGCAGCAGAATTGGGGTCCCAGGATGCCAGAGGTGACTCCGGGTGGTCCCAGCCCCCCTGGAGAGGGGGCTCAGACTGCAGGGGGGTCCCTGGGTGGTCCCAGAATTTCCTGTCCCCGAAGACGCGGCTCAGGCGAGTCTCGAGGAACCTCTGGACGCTCAGCAGGGACTGCAGCCCCACCTTGTCCTGGGGGGGACACAGGAGGTCAGGGGGGCCGGACACCCCCTCTGAGGCCCCAAAGACCCCCCCAGATCCCCAGGGACCCCCAGAGCACCCCAGACCCCTCAGAGACCCCTGCCTTGTCCTGGGGGGACATGAAAGTGAGACCCCTAGAGACACCTCCTGACCCCCACAGGGACCCCCAGATACCCCAGAGGGACCCTCAGACCTCCCCAGGGACCCCCAAATCCCTCCAGAGACCACCCCCAGACCCATTCAGACACCCAGAGAAACCACCAAGCCACCCCGGACCTCCCCAGGGATGCCCAGAGGGACCCCCAGACCCCCCCCCAGGACATTCAGGGACCCCCAGACACTGCTCGGACCCCCCAGACCTCGGTGGTCCCCTGGAGCTGCCCCAGGACCCTCCAGGCGTCCCTGGCGAACTCCTCGGGGGTCCTGTAGGGGGGGCTCAGCTTCTCCTGCAGCTTCGCCCTCATCAGGGTCAGGTCCAGGGCAGGACCACCCTCCTGTGGACACCAAACGGGGTCAGGGGCTACCAAACCATGACTGGGGCCAGTAAGTCCCTGCTTGGGCCTTCAAATGTGCCCTGGGGCTACCAAACCCCTCCCGTGAGCATCAAACTCCGCAAGGGTCACCAAACCCCGGGAGCCCCTGAGGTGTTCACGGTGGTCCCTGTGGCTCAGTAGCCCCCCCGTAGCCCCTGAGGTGTTCACGGTGGTCCCCGTGGCTCAGTAGCCCTCCCGTAGCCCCTGAGGTGTTCCCGGTGGTCCCCATGGCTCAGTAGCCCCCCAGCCCTCCCCGGTAGCCCCCACTCACCGCGAGGCCGCGTGGGCGCTGCAGGGCCCTGCAGGGCTCGTGGCACAGCAGCTCCAGCAGCACCAGCTCACACCTCTGGGGGGAAGAAAGAGGGCAGCCCTGGATCCCCCGGGATCCCTTGGGATCCCCCCGAATCCCCCCCAGGACTCACCTGCTGGTCCAGGGGGCTCAGCCGGGCGGGGGTTCCCTGGCCCGAGGGGGCCTCGGAGGGCGGGGGGAGCTCCTGGCACAGCGAACACGTCCAGTCGGAGCTGCGGATCCAGGGGGAGCCATTGGGAATGGGAGATCCCAGGAGGTTTGGGGCCAGCAACAGGATTCCCACGAGGATCAGGGAAGGGGAAAGAAGACCCCACGATGTTTGGGCTCGGTGGGGGATTCCCAGAGGGATCAGGGGCAGGAGATCCCCCAAGTTTTGGGGTTGTCAGAGGGATTCCCGGAGGGATCACAGACAGGGAACAGACATTCCACAAGGTTTGGAGTCAGTGGGACGATTCCCACAGGGATCAGGGAGGTGACAAGGGGCAGTGGATCCCAGGGAGGTGCCGTACCTGGGCACGTCGAGCAGGGCGGGCAGGTGGCAGTGCAGGTGGAAGCAGCGCTGGCACCGGTCACACATCACCACGGCCCCCGCGCGGCCGCACACCCGGCAGCTCCACCCCACGGGGACACCCTCCGAGGGGACACCCTCCGTGGGGACACCCTCCGTGGGGACACCCTCCGAGGGGACACCCTCCGAGGGGACACCCTCCGAGGGGACACCCT